CATTCTTGAAGACCCACTTGAGCATGTGGCAAAGCCTGATTTTGATCCTGGATTAGAAAACAATTGCTTTAAATGAGTCATTGGTAACATTTGAATATAGACATTATATTATAACACTAATACTATATCATTACTAAATGCCTTGAATTGATGGCTGTATTATGGTGATATATGTAGGAATGATGGGCATGAAATCTGTAACTTAAATGGTTAAAAATTAATATTAATAACAATAAAAATAGTAAGCTTATTTATAGGAGATGAATGAATACACAGACCTTTAGATAAGAGTTGGAGATTATTTTACTATTCCTGCAACTTTTCTTAAGGTTTTAAAAATTTCTAGAATAAAATATTGGGGAAGAAAACCCTGATGCTTAGAGATGCTGAGGCATATATTAATATATACTAATCCATTTTGTACTCAGAACAACGCTGTGAGTTAGATATGTTATGTCCCCATTTTAGAATAGGATGCTGAGACCATAGAGAGCTTAAAGACCTTGCCCAGTGTCACACAGCCAGTGAAGGTGGGATTTGAATACTGCTATTGTATTTCTGCAAAAGCACCCTACTTCTGTGTGTTGAACATATAGAAATTGATAGGTTGAACCACATAGAAATTGCTTTTCTATGATAATTTCTAATTTCTGAAAGCCATTGCATTTGACTCACCCTAGGAGTAGGGATCACTTCTTTCCTAATGAATGGTTGGTCTGTTGTGTTTCTTCATGACCAGAGAGTGGGTTCCATCAGGGATCATGTCCACCTTGCTTACCACTGTCTCCACAGACCGCCTGATTCATGATTGACATTTGATAAGTGTCGGTTGAATGAACAACATCCAAAAAATTTTGACTCCTTCTCCCTTTTTCCTCAGGTGTATCTCATTTTTGCAGTCCCTGTATCTGTGTCACTTTTAGGAGAACCTGTGAATAGTCATAACTAGTTAGAAAAGATGCAGCCTTGCCAGTGATAATTGCAACATAATCAACTATTCAACTTCAGGAGAACCCTTTTAACTGATGAAGACATTGATTAAAACATGCCCCTCTAAGATGACCTCTCAGTTCAGAAACTTGAAAATGTAAAATGTTTGGGCTCACTACCAACACACAGCAATTTTGGCTAGAATGTATGTGGTGCTCCGAATGCCATCCTCTCAGATCCTTATTTGAACAGTAAACACATTTTTAAAACATATCATGTTGTCTCTAAAAATAAGCGATCTTTCAAAATGAAAACCAGTGCACAAGTGGTTGGCACATCTGGTAGTCAGAGAAGTTGTATGGTTTGTTTTTAGGGAATGACAAGCCAAGGAACATTCAGACTTGGCCAATTGCAAACTTTTCTTCTATCTGTGATGACACCTGATTTAAAAAAAAAAAAATTGGCTCCAGGCTCGATGAAGAAAGAACATTGGAAATGGTCAGAGAATTAAACAGCACCATTTACTATCTTGTTTTGTGCAAGGAATTATAAAGAACTGTTTTTTTTTTCTTACTTCAAGAAAGAATGGAGCAAAAAAGCAAGGACAAATATGAAACAACAATAACAAAACAAAAACAATAGCAGTGGATAGCCATTGAGCACCTATTATGTGCTGGATAATGTACTGAGTCCTTTATATGTGATGTTAATACTAGATGCACAACAACCTTGTGGGTGGTCTTAATTTTCTTCCTGTTTTGTAGATGATAAGGCATAGAAATAAGACATACAAATGCTCAGTAATCTGCCCAGGTTATGCACCTAGCTGATCCGAGGCAGGCTGTCCCCAATGTTCGAACTCCAGAGCACTGCCCGATTCTGAATAGCCTGGAGGTGGTCATTATGTCTGGCATTAGAAAAAGAATTAGATGGTCACATTGACCTGCAGTGGCTCTTGGTCAAATTATTGTTTCACTCCACTTGTGAGGCAAATGATGCTGTTTTCCAGAACATTCTTATAGCTATACACAAACATTCCCTGTTCCCAAGAAGTCCACCACTCATTCTCATGGTTTGAGGCTATCATCTGTGATTCTGTCAGAAGCTGTCATTTCTCTCTCTCTCTTTTTTTTTTTTGAAGGACATTAAAGCTTACCAGTGAATTTTGGAGTAGGGGGTGGGACAGTAAAAAATTGATGGACATATTGGAGAGAGAAGGGCTAATTTGTTAATTTCTTTATTACAGAACAAGAAAATAATGTGGATATATGCATCCAGGGTAGAAGGTTACACAGGCAGCCATGACCTGTGTAAAATTCTGGCCCGGGAAAATGGATTTATAGTTACTATCCCCACTGACTCCATCTTCCAGTTAGCAGCCCTGTGGAGAAGCATCAAAAGGATTGACTTTTTGAAATTGCTTTTATTTTTTTCTCCAAATGGCACTGTTTCAAAAAAGACAATCAGGTGGGCTTCAGTGGAAATAATTTGTCAGTGTTTAATGCTCACTATAACTATCTTCTATTTTCATTCTTTCATCTCCTCTAAGCCTTCTTCAGTGTGTACTAATAGACCCCAGGCTAGGTGCTAAGGGAGCAGAGATGCCCCAAACATAGGGCTCTGCCTTTCAAAAGCTGTAAAATGTAAAAACTGAGAGGATGAAAGGAAGGCAAAAGTTCATTTCCTGAAATGTTTCAGGAACTGAGGTAGGTATATTACTGGAGACCAAAGGGGAACAAAGGGAAGAGTTGGGCAGATCTGCTCATTTGGAGGTGGAGAAGGGAGTTCATAGAGGAGGGAACCTTTGAATTGAGATCTTAAGATGCAGAGGGTTCTCACTAGGTAGGTTAGTTAGAGTAAGGGCATTCCAGGTAGAGAGAAGAACTTGAACAAGACATGGGTTAAAAAAAAATTTTCACTGATCATGTTGGTATTTATTGATTCAAGGTATGTGTATTTTAATGTCACAACATCTCTGAAATTTGAACACCAGGCTCCAAATTTAATTGGCTGTTCGTGTTTCTCACTGGTAACCAAAATAATGCTGTGCCTTACAATGTACTGGCATTTTAGATTTGATGAAATATTAATCTGCTTTGCCATCAAGTGTTATTTTTTAAGTGTGCTGTTCCAGCTTCTGTGTATCTTTGTTTTAGAGGTGGATGGATATTAATATTTGTTTATTAAAAAGGAAAAAGACATGAAATGATTGAATTCTTTATAGGACTATATGGTATTTGACAGAATACTTAACATCTGATGTTGTTTTGATAACAAGGGCTGATAACAATGGAACCTGGGGAGGCAATTCAGGTGTTTTACATACTGGGCTAAGCTATGAACCACAACATTACCTTTTCCAAGGACAGAAGGAAGTGGCATTTAGAATTTTTAAAAATGTTCAAGTTCTGATGCACTCCATAAAACTGTTCACACCAATCTAGGTGTCAATATGAAGCCCTGATAGTACGATGTTTTATGAGTTATGAAAACAGAGTATCTATGATTGATTGTCCAAGGGCCAAGAAGATGGATCAAACTTAAGCTGCAGTGGGAAGGGTAGATGAGATGTTCTGGTGGGTGTATTTGAAAAACAGAAATCCAAGAAATTTCTGTTGCAATTAATGATCTTGGAAAGTGTACAGGAAGAAGCCAAGCATCCTGGAGCCCAAACTTAAGCACACAGGTGTCACAAAGATACACTCCTCGCAGTATCAGTTTCTGCTTGGATTTCATCTGAATTTTAGTTTCCTTAAAGGCTGGACTGGAGCAAGGCTGCTGCCAGCTAAGGATGCTGTCACTCTACCAGCGTTTTTGAGATGTGGCTACATCGATGGGGCCATAGCTATTGTGCCAATTGTCTTGTTTGTCCTTTGGCTTCAGGGACTTCTGGAAGAAAATGTTTCAAAAGATGATAAGTAAAAATACTTTTTGGCTATTGATTTAATTTTGGGGAAAACAAAATAGGAAAGCATGTCCCCAGGGCTAAGGAAAGATACAGTGACACTTTTCACCTATTACGATCCCAATTATATCAATGAAAAAAAAAAGTGAACTTAAGTGAGAAAATTTTAGATCCTGATTTGTTAAAAACTGAGGTCATATTTATTTTCATTTGTTGTAAGTGAGAACATAGTGTTTAGTTACTGACACTTGGCCAGGTAGTTGGCAAAAAAAAAAAAGTTTGAACAAGTACATCCATGTAAAAAGAATGTCTAGAATGATTCAAATATTATTATTAGTTTTTATAAATGAATCATGGCAGTGTTTGCCTTTTTTTTCCCTTGCTTTTCACTTTCCCATAATGACACAGATTCTTGTGGGTTTCTTCTTTTTTCTTTCTCCTTTCGGTATGTACCAAACTTTTCTACATTGGAAGGTTGTAAACTAATGCAAATGAAAAACCTATGTCAAATTTAGTTATCATGTTGCTTTTCAAATGAGTGTGTTAAGACTCTCATCCTGATTGTTTAAAAAATTGGGTATATGTTCAATGACAACATATTGGGATAAAGAGAAAAAATCAAGATTGGAGGTACACAGTCATACTATATCCTTTTAAACAGGCTTTTTGGAAGTTCAGATTTGGAATGAAGTAAACCAGTTAAACGGGTTTTTATTTTTTTTAATTTTTTTTAGTAGTGTCAACTTTCCTTGCTGGGTGATTCAAGTGGAGGGGGAGGAGACAAAAAAAAAACAAAAAACAAAAAACACCAGAAAACACTTTGGTTTGATGAAGGTAATTCTATCTCCCTACCACCTTAACCCTTTAGGTAAAGATATAAGATATACCTCTCAATATCATTCTCAAAACAAGATTCTCACTTCTATATAGAAGTGAAATTTAACCACATTTTATAAAAGTGGTGATTATGGAAGAGTGTCTGTTGTAGCTTTATGACTTTCCAGTTGGAATTAGAAAAAGATTTTTAGTAATATTGCCCGTACTAAAAAAGGAAGATCCGAGGACTGTCTTTTGAGATGGGTCCTGATATAAGTGTGCACATGTGTGTATTTACTGGTCTCTGATTTAAGGGACATAAAAGCTAACCTGATTCATTTGTTTTTAGGGGCTCTTGGCTTTGGGCCTCAGTGCAAGTCCATTGGAAAAGGCAGCTGCAACAATCTAGTGGTCACCAGCAGTCCCATGATGGTTCAGCGACTGGGACCCATTTCACCTCCAGCAAGCCAGGTCTCCACAGCATGCAAGCAGATCAGTCCTAGCTTACAGAGGGCAGTGAATGCAGCCAACCTGAATATACCTCCTTCAGATACCAGGTCTCAAGTTACTTTTTTTTCCCCCTTCTTTATGGTATAATCACACCCCACATGTGTTTTCCCTTGTATCCCTGAATGCATGGGCGCGCACACCCGCACACACACATGCACACACACATGCACACAAACACACATGCTCCCAAGCAACTCTTCTGATGTGAGTGTTGTAGGGGAATGCTCCTAAAAACTAAGTATATGCCATTGTATCCTCTTAACTGGGAGGAATGGTTTAATATCTACTATCTTGTGGTATAATTAAAATGAATGCCCATTTTGAGATTTTGAGCCTCAGTGACTGAAGGCCAATATGTACATTTGTCAGTTCCTGTTGAAGCAAGTCATGTCATGGTCTAATAGGTGTTCCATGCACATCTTTTTTACCTGACAGGTTTTGGTGTATATATTTCAGTCTCAACACTGCTTATCAAGCTGTTTTCTCAATCCATCCATCTGTCTACCCACCCATCGACCTATCTACCCAAATATGTATCAGTATCAAGCATCTACTATCTGTGTAATGTAATAGTCAAAGTTTAGGGTGATAGCAGAGAGAATGAAGACAGAAATCACACATTTTAAGGCTTTATGATATGTCGGGAAGACATATTTTCATGTATGAGTTGCATAACATTTCAACATGATGTCTGATTAGGTGGCAGAATAAGTAGGTACAATAAGTACCACATATCTATCTTCATAGTGGAGAATTAATTAGAAAAGAGAAATCACCCCTCAGACAAATTTTCATCTCTGTCAAGGTTTATATTAGGGAGATCATAAAACCAAAATACTGTATAGTTTAAGGTCATTTCTTTTTTAAGTTAATATTTTGTCATAGAAGTTATCTTCTTTGAAAAGCACAATCCAAAGTTTTTGCCTATGAGTCTTGGTTCTGCTGTAACTGATCCTGCAAAGGACTCTCACTCTCTGGGCCTCTGCCTCTTCTTCTTGTGGGGCTGTAACCCACTAAGATACCTGTGGTTCTGAGACTCTATTTCTTCTTCCTTTCCTTCCTACTACCCATCTTTTCTGCTCTTGTCTTCCTGCATAATCCTCCTAGCTTCCATTTGAGACTCTGAAAAAAGTTCCTGGATCATTTATTTATGCCAATTTTTTCATGGGGTGGAAAGTTGTTTTTCAGCTGAGACTTTTTGTGATGGGAAGCTGCTGTCATTTTCCCATTGATGATTATGCCTTGAGGGACTCCTCAGACTTGCTGAGTGCTGCATGTAAAATTAACTGTGCTCATGGGTGGGTGTCACTGGGAAGCCTTCAGCTTCCTGTCGGTTGCAAGTCCAGCCCATGCCTTGAAGGCAGAGTCATAATTAATGGAGGAGCTGATGGTAGGCAGAGCACAGGCTGCTCAAGCCACATACCTTATGCAGTCCTTTTCATGGGTCGGCCAGAGAGGGTCATTATCTCAGTGTGTTCTGGCACATTTGATTCCTTAGCATAATTTTATATCCTTAAAAGGCAACACCTTAAAGAAACACTGACAGGTGTTTTTGACTATGTATTCCGTGAGCTCTTCTATGAGAAAAAAATTTTTTTTGCAGGATGAACAAAGAAACGCGAGTTGAGGAGTGGCTTAGTGAAGGATGGAACCTACTTTTAGCAATTTGGAAAGGTCACATATTTGTGATCTTTAAATTGGTTTGTGTGTTCCATCAGAGGGGAGAAAGAGTAAGAGGCAGCAGTTCAAACTGGAAGGCATGTCATTGTCACAGAGAAGATGGTGAGGTCATCATCTTAGAGCCTTATCCACCAGGAGTCTGCTGGAGGCAAATAGGGACTGGAGAGGTGCTCCGCCTAATTACCCATATAATTCCCGTAATTCCTAAAGTAGATATTATATTACTCAAGGACAATCGTGGGTAGAATTTGGATAGACATCCTTCCAGGTGTATGCAAATGCATGCATCATAAGTATTGGCTTTTCTTTCCACTAAATTGACCTAATAACTGACATAGTTTTATAATTACTTTTTTCAGTTCATATATTATAAACTCTTTTGTAATAAAGGTTTCTTCAGCCTCACATAATGGTTTCTTTCTGCTCCAAATTCCATTTTATAAAGTATATAAATAAAAAGTAATTCTTATCAGTCTTTTATTACTAAGGATTTAGTTCTTTCCCCTTATTTTAGTATTATAAATAATGCTTTATTGCATTAACCCTGTAACTCTTTTATTGCACCTCTCTGATTATTAGAATAAATTCTTTAAGTACAATTTGCTGGGTTAAAGGAAATGTACAATTTTTAGCTCTTAATATGTATTCTCAAATTGCACTGTAGAAAAGACCTACCCATTTATAAATTCACTAACAGGCTAAGAGAGTGCCTGTTTTCTCTGACCTTATCAAATATTAGTTATTATTTTTATAAGTTTTTCTTAGTATAAGTTTTTCCATCTGAGGTACAAAATGATATTTTGTCTTAATTTGCATTTCTTAATTATTGATATCATTGACCAGTTTTCATGGATGCATTGGCTGTGTTTTTTTAAATTCATTTGTATACAGTTTTCTCTTGGGTGCTCATCTTGAAAAAGTCACTTTTTTCTTAGCTTTGTTGGGTTCTAATTAGTTGATGAGAATTTTGCCCTAGTACTGAGTATTTGCTTTCATTAATTTCCCAACCATTTCTGACTTAATGATAAATGCAAAATTACCCCTTAGTGTTTTGAAGATCAAGAAGATCAAGAAACTATTCTCAATTTAGGCATTGCCGAAAGTTTATACTACAGAGCCTGTTGTGCATATTTCTCCTAAAATGACAAGGCCAACATTCTGGTATAGTAGCCTCATCCAGTGGAGTCATATCCCCATCTAGCAAAAGTTGGGCAATGGAAGAAATTTGCACGAGTTTGGAATATATTTAGCTTTTCTGGTGTTTGCACATGCATTGTGATGCTGTACTTTATGATTGAATATTTGTACTACCTTTTAGTATTATCCCTGTTGAAGACATCATGGACCCCAAGACACAGAAAACCTAAATGCTTTCTCCAGTGTCACTTGCTTGTCAGTCACAAAACTCACCCATTGCCTGATAATATCATTCTACATCCAGAAAGGCACCACATTTCTCTTTCTCTTCTATTAGAAATTCTTAGGGGTGATTGTCTTTTTGTTTGGAATATGCCCACAAAGCTCAGAGGAAGAGCACAGGCTAGGAATGGACTCTGGACTCTCTATGAGTCCTAACGTTTTATAAAACCCTTCCGTAATCAGATGCCCTGTTAATTCTTCTGAGCGATTTACCAGGACACATAAATAAGAAGTTCCAGATAGACCAGGTCTGGTCTTCCTTTCCATATCTGTGTATATATGAAATATATGTATTCTTATGAGTGTCAGTTTGAGAGTTTTCTGCATTATTTTTAAATTAGAACTTCTTTTAAGTTTGGCATTGAACCAAATAATTCAATTTGGGTCATCCTACCTCTTACGACTGAGAGTTACTTAGCTCTTACTTTATCAGTCATCGTAATCCTTTTTGCTGATGGTTCCCGGGTGTTCGTATTGCTCTTATTTTGTTTGAAATATATCTACCTTCTTTTCACATATAGCTCCAAATAAACCAGTTACCAGAAATAGTATCCTTAGGAACAGATGAACATATGGATATGGAGATTGTTCTCAGTATGGTGACACAGCGCTCTGAACTCTGTCACTTTCCTTCCCACAGGTCTGGTGTTGTAGCAGCAGGGGTTACAGGCAAGAATTCTTGGCAGCCCTCACACTCATTTAACATATTGTTGCAGAAAGAACAGAAAATTTGTGTTCCATTTGTAGCTTGTGTGACTTGAAGCCGGGTTTACCAGGTCTTGTAGTCAAGCAGAGCATTATGGACCACATGTGAGCTGCAGTGTGAGAAAAGCAGCAGAGAATGTGTATGATCCAGCTAAGGCTCTGTCTGTCACATGCTGCTTCATTTATTATTCACTGAGGGCTTTATCCCCTCCCCCCATTTTTTTTTTTTTTGGTGTGTGTGTCACTAGGAAAAATTTTTACAGAACCTTAGTTTTATTCTTTGTATAATAGAATTGATTAAAAATCCAGTTTACTTGCCTCACATATTGTGTCAAATAAGAAGATAACATAAGAAAAATGCTTTCTAAGTTAAAAATATTGGATAGTTACCATCATGATGTTTATTTATTTACTTTGCTAATTAACAAGTTTTTGAATACTTTATATTTATCTAACACTCTGGTAGGTACTAGGGAGATTAAAAAATGCCTCTTCTGTTGAGAGACTTTGACTTCTGTTGAGGAAAATACCCACATATGCTTCCAGGTGCACATATCTGTATATATGGAAAGAGGACTCTTACTGAGAACTGGTGTATTGGGGAGAGATTCCATGCATTAGAACTGTAAAAGGTCTGGATTACTGCATAGGAGATAGGAGGGAGACTGGCTGCTGAGAGAGAGAGAAAGAGAGAGAGAGGGAGGGAGGGAGAGAGACAGACACAGCCCTATTCATACTAATTGCTTTAATGATAGAATATAGAATTTGCTTTTTGAAAAATATATGATAACTATCTTAGGAAACTGAGATGTCCAAGGTATTAAGCAAAGCATCTACACAGGGTTATATTCAGATTTAATTTAAGCCATAGTCAGGTGTAATTTGAGAAAAATGAGAATCGTCTTTCAACAATGGAACAATGAACAAGTCTCACTATAGGCTGCCCTCAAACCAAATAATATAATTTTATAAGCAAAGTTTATAGAGATAGATAAAATTCTCTGTTGGTCACTGCTTAAAAATCTGAAATGTTCTAAAATGACACTGACAGGCAAATGTGCCACCTGAGAATGGATATCCACTCAGCCACATGGCTGTAGTGAAGCTCTTATTCTTGATGTTCTATAAACTTTCTCAGGGTGTAAAGCAAAGTCAGTTGTCTCTGCTTCAAATATGACATATCTACTGATTTAGCTTGGGTCTGAAAGTAATTCCTGAATCTCACTGGGGAAGGGACCAAAGGGCCCTTGACATCCAATCACCAGGAGTCTTCTGCTGAGCTCTGCAGGAAGAGCCACAAGCTGCAAGTGTGCTAAGAAAATAATTGAAAAGTGTCCACAGGGAATTAAAAAACAGATGGTTCAGGAAACACTTTGGGGCTTGAAAAGGACTTCAACCCAAATGTAAGGATGTGGACTAAGAAAAAAATCTATGTCAAGGGCAGCTGGACATACATTCCGGCTGTGTTTGTCATTGGTAAACATTACTTCGCCTGATGGTAACATCATGTTGATCACAGTGTTATCACCCCATAGTGTGCATTTCAGAGCTGTTTTCTTGCTAATATCTCACACTCATAGGAAACCACATTCCTGGCGTCCATTTTGTGAAATGGAGTAAGAGGAACAGGTGGGATAAAAGTGTTTCTCTTTTTCACTTGTTCCTTTGCAACAGGTTGATATTTAACAGCTAAAGATAGTAAAAGTGTTCATTTTGGGGAAGGCAAACATTTTCTATAACATTTTGTTGTGGTTAATTTTATTATCCCAAAAATAGATCTCTGTAGAAAGCAAGTGCAGATACACATAAATAAGCCAGCTTTTCTGCTGTACACTGAGTCTGAGTCAGGGAATACAGTGCCTGTTCTAAATGTCTACATGAGTAGCCTCTTTGTGACAGATTTTCTGTCTAAGGTACATAGCTTTTATTTTCTTCAGTTCTTTTTAAGGAAGACATGCCGTAATAAAGCAAAAGAATGTTAAAGGGGCCTGAGCTACATTATGGACCATTTTGTTATGTATACAATATATTGTGAGACATGAAGCTTATTTAGTAAAGGGTAAGAACAGATAGGGAAATCTTGTGAAACAAGCAATTGAAAGTGAATGATCTACTCTCAGCCCAAAGCTGCTCTGATTTAAGAACAAGAACTCATCAAAAACCCAAGCAAGCAAGTATGGTTAAACCTTACATAGCCCCAGCATGTAATGTAATTCTAAAAATGACTTGATTTTAGTTTGTACTCCTTATATATTATAGCTATGTTTTATTTAAAAAATTAAGAATTGAAACCAGTCCGTGTATTTTATATATATTTTTCACCTACTGGGATGATTTGTTATTGTAACTGAGTACTGACAGTATAAATTGCTCTTTTATTATTATTATTATTATTATTATTATTTTACTAATTTGTTAATATCAGTGAAACTAAATTGTAAAGCTTCTGAATCCCCTGGACTACGCTTTGACTTTAAGGATTTACTCTTTTTTTTTTTTAATGAAGTTAAGTTTAATGTTACCTCCCCAAATAGATGTTACTTAAAGGCTGATACTCTGTTTAGATTTGTATGCGCTGCAAAGTCTATCATACCATACTGCACACAGTAGGTACTTAACAAATACTTGATTATTTGGTTTGCTGTGACAGACATTAATAATTTATCCCAGGTCTTTAATTTTCCCCCTACATTAAAAAGGATATTTGAAAATAAAGCAAGCACTATTTATTATAATTAAAGTTCTGAGATTATAACAATATATCTTTTGTTTTATTATTTCAGTAAGCATTAGCTTTTATTGTGCTTCTTGGGAAAATATTATTTACCTGGAACGAAAAGCCTTGGATTTTATCTGAACCCAAGAATGTGTGTTTAGTGGAGAATGTAATTAGGGGAAATACATAAGGGATTGTAAGTGCAATGTTCTTTTAGCTCTTAAGCAATCCATATCCTGTTAAAATGTTATTTTTTTTCTTCTCTTCTGGCTGCTGTTCCAGGTCCCTTATTTCACGGGAGTCTCTGGCATCCACGACTTTGAGTCTCACGGAAAGTCAATCGGCCTTGAGTGTGAAACAAGAGTGGTCTCAGGGCTATAGGGCTCTGCCTTCGCTTTCCTCCAACCATAGCTCTCAGAATGGTGTGGATCTAGGGGACTTCCTTGGCCTTCCTCCCGGGACATCCATGTCCAGCAATAGTGTCTCTAACTCATTGCCATCCTATCTTTTTGGCATGGAAAATACCCACTCTCCTTACCCTAGTCCCCGGCATTCATCCACCAGATCCCACTCGGCCCGCTCGAAGAAGAGAGCACTGTCCTTGTCGCCCTTGTCAGATGGCATCGGGATAGACTTCAATACCATCATCCGCACCTCACCCACGTCCTTGGTTGCCTACATCAATGGGCCGAGGGCATCCCCAGCCAACATGTCCCCGCAGCCAGAGGTCTACGGGCATTTCCTGGGGGTACGCGGCAGCTGTATCCCCCAGCCATGTGCAGTACCTGGCAGCCAGAAGGGCGTGCTGGTGACCAGTGGTGGCCTGGCGCTACCGGCCTATGGTGATGATGGGGTACTGGAGTATGAGCGCATGCAACAGCTGGAGCACGGTGGCCTTCAGCCCGGGCAGGTCAACAATATGGTGGTGCAGCATGGCCTGCCCGGCCCTGAAGGCCAACCCTCTGGCATGCTCAAGACTGAGCGACTGGAGGACTTCCCAGGTGGTACCCTGGATCTGCCGCCTGCGCCCCCGCTCCCTCCCTTGCCACCGCCTCAAGGTCCCCCACCACCCTACCATGCCCACCCGCACCTTCATCACCCAGAGCTAGTGGCCCACAGCCAGCCACTGGCACTGCCTCAAGCCACCCTGGACGATGATGGAGAGATGGATGATGGTGGGGGCAAGCACTGTTGTCGCTGGATAGATTGCAGCGCCTTGTATGACCAGCAGGAGGAACTTGTGCGGCACATCGAGAAGGTCCACATTGATCAGCGAAAGGGGGAAGACTTCACTTGCTTCTGGGCTGGCTGCCCTAGAAGGTACAAGCCTTTCAACGCCCGCTATAAACTGCTGATCCACATGAGGGTCCACTCGGGGGAGAAGCCCAACAAGTGTACGGTGAGTTTCTGAAGCCCAGGAGTGACCTTTCTCCAAGGCCTAGCATTTGTATTTCATGTATGTATTTTTCTAAACTTGGCCCACGGGTCTGAGTACAGTTTCTTCATTTGTGGGTTTGGATGTGTGGTGCTGGGGATGTCCATGAGATTGGATTGCCTTCAGCTTGAGGAAGGGAAAGGTTCTTCTGGTGGCTAGTGGCTGCTGGTTTCTCTCCATTTCTAGATTCTCTTCTGAAAGGGTACATGATCAGCAGGGAAGGCCAGTCTGCCCCACTGTCCGTAATCTTGAAAAAATGCTGGCCAGGCACAAACTGGAGCTTCCTTAATGTGCGTGGACATGTAAGAGCAAAGGAACACACATCACACCACCAGCGAGCTTTAGCTCTCTTCCAAAGCAAATACTCAGATTTTTCTTTCCCTCCAATAACTGGGTGAGAATTGGAGTGGGGGAAAGGGGTGTTCTGATATTTAAGAAAGGAACTTACTACTTAGCAAATTGGCTAGTAAAATTATTGCTACATGTACCCACACGCCTGCACACTGTACCTTCCAGGGTTGTGGGACTAGTTAATGATTTATAGCCAGCATAAAAACACCAGAGGATACCACAAAGCAGAACCTGGAGGGATCTCACCTAATTTTAAGGAAAGAGTTTGTGGAAAGATATAAGGAGGGAGTGGATTAGGGAATGTGCCTGATGTACCTTTGGCATTGAAAGAAGTGGGCCTGGTGTCACTTTCCCCTGCCTTCCCCTTTCCTGGCATCAATCCTGGAACTCTGTTTCTGGGCAAAATTTACTATATTTGAATAATATGATTCGTAAACTATTTCATAATAATTTCACACCTCAGAGAAGCCCTCAGGGTTTACAAGTGGGACATCACCCTTGGGATCACAGGGATGGCTTTGCACAATCTGACAGCTTACTTAACTCTTGGAAGAAGAACATATGGTTTATATTAATTTAGATGGGCAGGAGTATTTCTTTAGAGTTAAAATCTGAGAATTCTGTGTGCTCCCTGGATAATGAGTATGGTGGAGGTCCCTAAATATGTGAAATATACAAATTATTTTAAAAAGGAACTTATCTGGACTGTGATTCCCCAACCCCAGTCCCTTCTTTCTATAGCATGTCGTGATATAGAGAATCTGGACCATGTTTATGTCTCATTGTAGATTAGCCAGGTTCTCTGATTCATGTAAAAGCAAACCAAACAGGTGACATCTGTAATGTAAGTATTAGAAGCACCTTTTCACCATCCAGTAGGTATTTTTGAAAGAGTTTTTAAGAATTTTTGGTGGAATGAAATTGCATTTCTCATGGTTACATTATGCCCCATGTTGTGATTTTTCTTAAGGAAAACCTGAAGGTGATATATTATGAGAATGTCAGGTTCTATGAGTAAAAGGAATAATTACATTCCAGGAGGCAAAACCTCACTCTTTCAGTAGGGTTCTGCATTAAAAATGCCAGAAAGAGACAGGCAATTGTAGGCAATTCCATTTACTCTGTTTGGAACACACCATCCTATTGCAGGCAGGAAAGACATTCAGTTTCTGAAGGAAAACAGTCCAACCTTTCAGTTCTGACTAATCCTGGCTGAAAATAGTTTACTGGATTTGGCTTTACTGAAATAAACATAAAGCCTTGAATTATCCAAAAAACTTTTTTTCTGCATTGCAAAATTAATTTTTATGCAACAGGATTTCCCCATTTTCCCACTGTTCCCAGACTTTTTAAAGATGTGTAACTTTATAAGGTTGACTTTTGCTGAAGTGCATGCTGAATAGTAAAAATAGAAATAGTTGAGTGAAAGAATAAGCTGAAAGGTAAATGTTTGCAGACCTCTGCATAGTTCTTTATTGTACTGTTCAGGATGGGTATGGGAGGTAATTTTTCTCTTAATCTGCCCACTCCCCACTTCTAGATGGAATCTTTGCAAAATGCAGATTGCTAATTTAATAGCATATTAAATCTAGAACCACAAACCATTTACTTACACGTATCATAGTGCAAATATGTTTATCCAAGGCAGGGTTTCTTAGGACCTGACTAATGCTGCAATTCCAGTCTTGGGAATATATATTTATAGCAAGAAGACATCCATTTTCACATAAACATACATATTATGGACTTCATTTCTTCTGAAGACCTTTGACTTACTTGTCATCTGCTTGATTTGTAGGACTGTAGCCAACTGGCAGTGAATGTTTTGCATGAAAATTTAGCATTCCTCTCAAGGTGTAGTCCATGGATAGAAGACATTGTGCTTAAAGTGGATGCCCACGTGAAATAATGTATTCTTCTGCTTTTGAAAAATGAATGTTTACACATTTGGAATCCAGACACAAAGAACTTTTAACACTGGGATGTCTCATTGCTTTAAAATCAGAAGGTAGTTGAATCAAAGCTAAAGATCCTGCCAAGTAAAATGACCACATTCTTCTTTTGGAGAAGTGATCTTTGGCTTTTTGTGGCTGTGTCACATGCTGCAAAGGCTAGGAGCAGTTTCAATGAAAAGGTCCAGTCTATTTTACGTATGCTTAACTGCTTTTAATTTTCCATGATAGAGTTACTCATCATTTTCACTCAATTGCTTATTGACCCAGGAAAGGGCAGATGACCCCTTTGTGTTTGGTGACCATGACTACAAGAAGCACAAAGAGCTTGTGGAAGTTATGGTAAATGGAGGGTGTGTCAGAGGGCTACCGTCTGCTTACAGGAAGAGGCTGCCACTGGTGTCCTCCCTCAGTGCCAAATTCCCTTTCCTGCATGGGAGAATGCATTTTCAGAATTTCTGATTATGACTCTCCAGCTTTACCCGGAACTCTGGGGTTCTGATCACTCAGGACTGTAGATGGCAAAACCAGGGGAGGGTTATGAATTATTTATTTGGTTCAATTACTGTAAGAAGAGGATGGGTTCTTTTCCTTTCCCCACCCAAATAATCCCACCGTTCTGTAGATCTCATTCTTACTGCTTCTGGGCAAAGCTCTCTTTGCAGGCCTGGCTCAATGGCAGAGATATTCCCAGCCATGGACAAAAAGGCCTTGAGAAGTAAAGGCAATGGCAGACAGACAGACCTCAGCTAACTCAGAAACTGGGATATGGCAGTATTATATTTAAAAGGACTCAAGTCCATTCACTGCTGTCTATTAAGTAAAGCAATTTCTATGTGCTGAATCATTCTATTTTGACCTTCCTATGTTTACCCACTCCCAACCTTGGTAAATCTTGGAGTTATAAAAACTGTGGGGGCATTCCCAGTGTAACTATGTGGAATTCTGATAAGTTTTCCTGAAATGGTAAGGTTCTAGATTTCCAAGTTAGAACAAGTCATGGAGACCCAGAATTTGTCTCTTTTTCAAACTGTTGATTTGTGTAGGAGGACAACATAAAGTCTAACCCAGAGCCACATTTTATGTTAACCGTCTCTAACTGTATCCATAGTAATGGTTCCAACAGAGCGAATACTGAGAATGTTTTTGCCATACATAGGTCTTTCTGCCATTAAGTTTAAGGGTGTGCAGTGCCTGGCCGGATAGTGTTCCCAGGAAGGTATGTTTTGAATGAGGCCAGGCATGCTCAGTTAGTGCCTCTGCTGGGAAAATTTATCTGATCAGGACAGAGTGATCAGGGGCATGGGATTCTGTTGCCAGGGTGGGAAAGGCCAGTACTTGCCTTTGTGCACAATTGCAAGCAGTTGTGCTGGGAGGTTAGGGAGTGTTAATAAGGGAATTAGGGGGAATGTGGGCTGCCACTTAAATTTTGCTTATTTTTCCTGGATGATTTTTATCCAATAGAAAAAAGGAATTTTGTAAAACTTTTACCCACCCACAGATTTTCATGAAAATGTCACTGACCATAGACAGTTTTGAATTTTGTATGAATTGACTCATTTCTCCTCAGGCATTTTGCCTGGCCAAACCTAGAGTATTTTCTTTGGCTTGAATATTGGGTAGTTTGCTTTTTAAGTAACATTGGTTCATGAACATAAGAAAATAAATATAGCGCTGGGGCCATGTCCCCATTCTTCTTTTATGGCCTGATGTATGGGTTCATGGGCCAGTATTGACTATGTAGCATATTTTAAAAAAATATTTTTCTTAGTTATATATGGACACAATACCTTTATTTTCTTTTTTTATTTTTATGTGGTGCTGAGGATCAAACTCAGTGCCTCACACATGCTAAGCAAGTGCTCTACCGCTGAGCTACAATCTCACCTCTGTAGCATATTTTTTGAGGAAAAGTAAATTTATTGTAAGCTGTAGAAGGATTTTTATGTCTTTTAGTTTGTTATTTGGTAAGATTTGGCATTGATATGATGACCACAATAACATGACCAGAAGGGATCTTAGGAAAATGCTATCTAACTATAACTATTTTTGAAGCTAACACTTCAAAATCTTTATATAGGCCAAAATGAGTAAATTTTCATACTACCAAATATTGATAAGGGTATGTTGAATGGGGAGTATGCTAACTTTTCTGGTGAGAGTAAATTGTGTAACCACTTTAGAGAGTGATTTTGGAATACCTAGTAAGGTTGGAGCTAAGCATGTCCACTAGAATCATGTCTAAGTGTGTAACCTACAGACTCTTGCATGTGGTGGCACAGAAACCCAAGACAAGATGTTTATTGCATTTGTGTTTTTTAAAAAAGTGTAAATAACTCTCCATACATAAGATGAATCAATAAACTATGATTTATTCCTAATGAAATAATATAAAGAAGTTTAAAATTATTGGAATATACCCATGAATGTATCAACATGAGCAACTCTCAAAAATTGTTGAGTGAAAATTTGTATGCAAAAGGGTTAATGCAGTGTAATACAATATATGTACATTTAAACACAGCAAAGTATAGAGTTGTTTTAGATCAATAATTGTGTGGTTAAGGAATGAAATCCTGTGGGTAGAGTAACTAGTAACCTTAGGATAAGGGATGTTTCTAGAGAGGAAAGAAATAGGATGTAGGGATTTTGCTTCATCTT